ATCTGCAGATTTTCAATAATAATTTCACTCAGTATATTTGACACTAGTGAATTTCATCTACTTGTTACACCATTTCCGATACACTGAATTGTAATTACTATTTGGAGTTCTTGAAATAGGATGAAACCAATTCTTACTGTTAGCGAATAGCAACCTTCCCCAGAAATGGGTTAAATACTGGATTGAGAAATACAAGAACGTGGTTAGATTATGCCTCACCATGTACCCAGAAGGATGGATGATACATCCTTCAGGAGACGAAACCCATTCGAGTAAATTCTTCCGATGTGGTCCCAAGGAACCTGGAATTTCCGCCATCGACATTGATGAAAATATTCCAATGTATACGCACCGGAAAGGTTGACTCGCAAAACCACCTGCCTCCAAGTCTGTTGATATCACTGCACTCACATTAAAAAATCATGGGTCTCGGAGTTCATGTAGAACAATTGCTAAAGGGCATCGTTGCTTTATGATCTCAAACTCGCTCACAGGAGAGCAGACCATCTAAATCACTTCTAAAACCTCGGATACAGTAGTTCCAGAATGACTTACAGCTGAGTGCAGTGGGATGATAAAGGAGAAGAGCGCGAGGAGGAACTTCAGTGCTGAAAATCATACCCCGAGACCTGCGTTGCACAAGTTTGATTGAGAAACGAAATATAGATAAATGTTGAATAAAGTTCAGTGAAATAAATACACATAAAAAAACCCTTTGGCTGATGGAACGTACGCTTGCAAGAGTTCAGGGGCAAGATTTGGTCGCACGGTCAGAGAAAACTCCTCCGGACGGTCGACTCGGAAGTCTGAAAAGTATTTAACAACACCTTTGACTTCTTCTGCAACGAGGGAAGTCATATCTGACTGCGATATCAGAATCAAAGAAAAGGGTCAGTACTGTACAAGAGACCGACTGACCGGACCGGGTACGAACCAACACAGACGAGGGACTGAGATGCGACTGGCACTTACCAATAGTCGATATATGACGTTTCTTCGTTCCTTCTTGTGGCTATTCGCCTCCGACTTAGCTTCCCACCGGCGGAAGAGTCGGTACAGCACACCCATGATCTGCAGTGTTCCGGGTATAAACTGAAATCTTCCACGGCGATAGAGATCCTCCAGAGTCGGGGGATCCTGTTGAGCCACGAGACTCACCATATACTTGCGGAGCTGACGACGGAGGAAAGGGATTATCTCCATCATCTGACCGTCGCCTCTAGGACGAAGACTGAGTATCTTTCTTCCCAAATTCGGCAGAGTTTGTTCTGGAGACGGTGTTCTGCCCGTGGTTTTGCACAGGAGCTTCCTTGTGCAAGCTGGTTCCGGGGTTGGCGATCCGGAAACAGTGTGAGTGTGATACTGTAAAAAACATTGATCAAATGTAGTGAATGAGAAAGGAGAAAATTCAACCGAACTGAAAAGTAAATTTTCTTCAGACCGGATTAGATTCTTACCGTAGAAGGTTTAGGTATGTTGTTGACAGGTTTAATCTCACATAGAACTTTGCGTGAAAATGAACATGGCCTAAAAACTTTCCCGGACCCAGTACGTGGAGCAATTCCACTGTTGAAATTCAGATACCGACTTACAACAACAGTGGAGATTATCAAACCCATCGACAGGAACAGGAAAGCGAGGAACAGGAAAGCGAGGCGTGGGCGTGAGAGCTTCATATTGCGGGAGATACTAGAACAACTTTCATCAGTTGAAAGTATTGGAAATAATAGAGCAGCAGGTTAAATAGAGATCTGAGTCCGATTCAATCATATGAGTTCAAAATGCCCGTTCTCATGGACGTGAGGATGATCAAATCACATGAAGGCTCATAAAATCGATCGTTGTGAACGTACATGTCACCTCTTGCCGGGCTTACCAACCTTCGTGTTGTAGATTTGTAACAGTTTTATTATGTTCCGATCGCAAAGGGAAGCCCCACCTGAACGTTCGGCTTTAGAGATGGGCAATCGTCACAAATTTCGAAAATCCGTCTCGCTCACAGAATTTTGAACGGTATTAGTTACCGATGTATTTTGGATGATGATGTTATATGACATGTGCCTCGTTCGGCATTCGTCTTACAAGGTAGGATTCCATCGCTAGCCACAGTCTTCCTACTTCCTGGTCCATCTCTTTTCCAAAGTCCTGATATGTGTCAAAGCTACTGACAGTGTGTCGAACACTACGTTATTTTTGTTATAGAAATAACGAGGTTACTTTGCAGCTTATGTAGGAAATGGAAATGGGGAAATCACCCTTTCGCTGCATTCGAACTACAACTTGAAAATGAATCCCTTGCAAGCTTTTCGATGGGTACAACAACTAGAACCCTCAATAATATGTTTGCGAGCGCTCCAATATGTTTTGTATAATTATTCATCAGCATGAGCTTTGAATCGTTCAGTCTTGAGTGTATTTGTCTCAGTTTGATGCAATTCTCGCGTTTATATGATTATGGCTTAGCTCAAAACAGACAAAATTCAGTGATCGGATAACTCATGATATATATTTCAGAGAAAAATTGATCTCTCTTGACACGAAGAAAGCCGCAGTTTTAAGAAGATATGGATCTGTGATACGTGGAGTATGTTTTGCGTGACAAATGTCAAATGGAATGAAAATTGTCTTCTTTCACAACCACAAGAGACACGGATACTGGCAGTGGTCAGGTGAATGGTACCTCATTCCATTATGTCTTTCGCAGCATTAATGCAATCACAAAGGGTGGTCAAAGTGTGTGACAAGCAAAAGATTCTATAAGTGCATATTATCCATGAAAGATTGACAAAATTCTGTTTCAGGAAAGTTTCTTGCGATAGATTCAAATTTTCATTAACTAGCATTGTCACCAGATTCTTCCATAAAAGAACTGGTATCCACACATTCCCAATATCAGTTTCGATATTTTGAATGTTTTATATCATTTGATGTTTGTATACTCTATAGTTTGTTTATTCGTTTAACATGAAGACTTACGATGGAGGTATCCATCATCTTCATCATCTTAGGGGTAAATATAAGGCCGGTGACATCCTCAAGAGCTGGACATCTTTTATAGTAAAAGGGCAGAGTATCATTCTTCCCAAATTCTACAAAATGTTCTCAAGGTCCCGTCGTCTTCCACGGGACCTTCAACATTAGCTGTTTCAGGATCTTACTCTTTCATCATCATGTGCTCTATCGAGAAAAGTCTTCTAGTTTTTGAGCAAATTTTCTATCTTGATAGTGCACAGTGATCGACAGATCTTTCCTGGAGACATGGCTAGGGAGCTAGCTGACATACATTAGTGGCTATTGGCAGAACTGACAAGAAAAAGCTGTAGTAGTCTTCGGACATGAAACTCGCGAGCACAGATTTGAGAGGCATGAGAGTTTCATGTCAAGAGTAGTGTGAGCACAGAGTTCCTTTCATGAGCTAACAGGTTTGGATACATGAGTGCAGATGGCTCTAAAACCTATCCAATCATATGAGCTCTACATGAATAGCAGTGATACTCACCACCCGTGAGGAAGAACAAATCTTGTGAAGCTTTGAATCCACAAGAGGCAAAAGCAGCGTGATCGTTGTGAACGTCTGTCTCCTCTTGCTGCTTGGCTTATCTACATTCGATTTGTAGATTTGTAACAGATTCAATATTTTCCGATCGCAAGGGGAAGAATGTTGGGCTCTAGAAATGGGCAATTGAATCATCGATCTGTAGATCCGAAGATGAATATGTCATATCACCTCTCCACATCCCTCTGACTTCTGGAGATGAGGAAATCATGAATAACCACAATCTCAAAGAGGTGGCCAATATTCCATCGTGTCATACGAAGTACCCCACAACACGAGCTAGAGAAACGCCCCCAGTTCATCCTTCGACGCGATTGATAAACGATCACCTTTGGGGTCAAAGCCACTGCCCAACACGCAATCACTTAACCATATTTTTTACAGTGCATCCGACGTCTTCGGGAAGCAGTCCAAGAAGATGCCCAATGAATATCTTCGTGTGATTTGGAATCGGAGCAAAAGTAGTTTAGACTTTCAGATCCGTCTTGAGAAAGTTCGATGCTCCTCAAAATCAAGGTAATATCCGGACTTTGCGAAGATATGCCTTGGAGGTAGTATCCAGTATTGCATTTTTCGGCCACTTTCTTTCCATGTCAGTACAATGTGGGCAAACACTTACTGCAAATTGAAGAAATTCACGACAAAGCAGAACTAGAATAGATCTGAACGAGGCAAAACATCAATGCGGTTATAGGAATATACGACTGAGTGAGTAGGACTACTGAAAATCAATCCAATATTCGAAGTATATCCAGTCTTGGTGTAACGATCGGGAGCAAAACCGTCGTACAACCCATCACAACCAGAAAACATACTTACAGTGTTGGTTATGAAATACACATTTCGTATGCCATGCAGCCCAAAGGAAATGACAATTCATCTCAACTTCTGTTGTCAGGAATTGAACCTCCCAGCGTTTAACGCTAGCCCCACTCTCAGAAACGAAGATGGAAAGCGACAGGCGTCATTCTGAGATATAATGTCCAACGAAAGAAGCTTCCCGGCATGCAGCTTACGTTGTTAGCGCATGGAATTTGTCTTCTTTACTGATGATCACATCCTGCAAAGAGCACAGTGTCGTATTCGTTGGGGCAAAAGTACCGTTGGGCATATATACCAAGGCTCGTACTCTCAGCTCTGTTTTCATCTCCCTGCTTGGTTTGGAACTCATATTTCCATCTGATCAAGCCGCTTAGCAGCGAGTGTTCATTTACGAATTCCAGCTCCGACTCTAGCATATCTGAGACTTGACGAGCAGCAATGGCCTCGCAAAATTGAATTTCGACTGACAGATCATGAAATGTGATGATGACCTATTGATAGTGAGCCCAGTTCAGGAAGAAGCCTAAAACCCATCATGTCTCTTCCGAATCATCATGCAGTGGAAGACCTTGCACTGTGGAAACAAAATCACTTCGCTGAAGTCAAATGTGGTGGATACAGGAAGAGACAAGACTTCATGTGACAAGAGTTTCCTTTTTCGATCTTTATTACAACCACTAGAACCTGCCAGGCTCCTCAGCAGGTGGCAGTTAGTGAATGTATGCCTGAATATACCTCTATAAAGCCCTCAGGCGCCCTAGTTCTATTAACAGAACAAGGCCTGTGTTGGACAGAAGACACAGAGCAGATGCACTCACTTGGTCAACTGCATCCTCAGAGCAATGGGTGAAGAAGATCGTGCTAACGTTGGGGCTCTAACTGCAAAAGTGTATCTGAGAGAGCTGAGAGGCGACCTCAATCCGCTACATCTCCAGACCCGCTAAATGCACATGCCACCCCTCTACTCTTTTTAGATTTGAAGTTACACTACTGATGCCACCGGGAGTTGTACTCATGCTCCTACTGCTTCTTCTTCCAAATCATCAAAACTGATTTCTTGAGGAAAAAGAAGAGTTCGAGCTTGAGTAGCCAAACCAACTCTACAATCTCTGATAAACCACTAACTCCTATGATGCACCTATATACACTCCCCGAACAGAAGTTCCAGCATTCTTCCTCCTGGTGATTTTGTTGTCGACGTGTTCGATTCAAGTATTGTCCAGAGGAGGATGGAAATTGGGGATTTCCTGATAGCGAGTTTACTAGGAACGACTTGCAGCTTTCATGCTGAAATTGAGATTCATTCACATAAAAAAATTAAAACCGTGGGCAAAGTAATCTGTTTGCTGTGAGAGCTGATTTCCACCAAATATCACTAGGGGTTGACAAACAATCTTCAATGCCGACTGTGGATGAGTAGCCATCAACACTTCCATATGCATTATGGCAGAAAGATCCGCCTTTAAATGTCGGGCTCGTTCTCGATCCATGAATGGGCCACAGGTTTACATTTACCATACTGATGCCGGTACATGGCACTTTCTCACTGCAAGCCAGGGAAACAGCTTTGTACGATGGGTCGTAGCTTCCGACGATGTTCCTGAATTTCACATCCGAGATCGCTACAGCTTTTGTCGCATGATTCCTGCATTTCGCTGTATCGCAGTAGTATTGGTCGATGACCACAGGATGGCTCACATTTCTGACTCTAATGTTTTCGAAGGAGACTTTGCTGACATATCCAGATCCTCCCTAAAATCAGGATTGCAGCAGTTCAAACGTCAGATTTCGATTCTAAGAAGCAGTCCCAAATTTCTCATGTTAGACAAATCTGGCAAATACACACTTCACGCAAAATAAGAGGTGAAAGTTCCCTCACCTGCCAAGTTTTCATGCGCACAGCACCGGAAGCATTTTCAACAGTTACATTGTACACATTGATATTGGAAACGCAGCTAGTTGTTCCCTTCGCGCCTAGGCTTCCAATGCTGCAGCGAGAAGAACGAGTGAGTGATATCCCGTTCTTATTTCTCACAACTTCCCACTGGAGCGATTTTGAAAGCTCTTCATATCCTACATGAGATCTTCTTGTTGAGCACAAACGGCGAGTCGAAGCTGTTACATTCTAACAATCAAGCAAAAGAACACACATTTCTATTTTACTTCAAATGCCCCGATGCAGAGATGCAGCATCTAATCACCTGATTCCAGCTCCAGGCCCGCACTTGAAGTGATGAATGATGATATCAAATGATCCAGACTTGATACTAACACAGTCATCGCCTGCAACGAAGATGAGGGAAAATGAGGTTGTTTAAAAAGTTAGTTCAAAATCTGAGCTAGAGCTAGAAAGTGATTATTCATCAAGCTGAACTTATGCAACAACCTTACTGTTCCTTCATTTTACTGTTCGAGAAAATAAAATCCTCAAAGCTCTATGTGACCAAAGAAGTAATCAAGACGCCTTGACACGACACGACATTTGTCTCTTCGACTTTCTACTGCGCAAAGCTGCGAGAAACGAAAGTGGGGAGTGCAAACGATAGAACAAAGGAAACCTCGGGACGTACCAGTAGAAACTTCTGAATACTCGACAGTGGCCTTCTGAGTATCGGCAAAGCTTATACCATCTGTGTTGGGGCTATCTTCTGGAGCTATCACCTTCACTTCTTTCACGAGCACTCGTGAACAGGTCTCAAACACCAAATGTGCTTGCGCAGCATTTTGGATGGTGACCTCCTTCACTACAACGTTGGTGCTCTGGGTGATTTTTACTGCAGTCGGCGCTCTGCATCTTTTGGGTAGAACCTCCGCCTGTTCGACATTGCAAATGTTCGTAAGGATCAATATACAATCGTTCGAAGTCCTAATCCGATCGTAGCTACCTATACTCAGTAAACTCTTGAAGACCTGGTTTATCTTTGAACACTGCCCATGCATATGAGAATTCTTACGATGGCCGGTGTTGGATAAAAACATTTCATGGTTACAGATTAAATAGCACCGAACAAATCTGCAATTTACCCTTCTGCAGGAGTTGCACCACCAAGAAGCTCCATTGCCGTTGATTAAACCTGATCCCATGATGGTGAGTCCATTCAAACCCACGAACTTCAACCACCATATTTTTTTTGACTCAAGCCACTCAGTTGAATTTGAGGGCATGCTTAATATGGTGCCATCCACCTTCATCGCCAAGATTTATAAGTTAGCACAAATCATTATTTGTATCCAAGAGATCAGTAATCACGTGTACATGTTAGACCCTAACAGGATTTAAACGGGATTTCTAATATCTCTCCGGAGTTTGGCTGGTGAAACACTCATTAACCCGAAGTATATACTCTTCTGAATCAGGACTGCAAAATATGCTACATTGAGTCAAAACGCAACAATGGTCACATTCAATCAGTTAGAAATCCTAAGTCATTGCGATGAGAAAAGGTACAATTATCAAAGGTAACAGAAATTTGAGAGTGGTACACATTGCCCAGTTTTCGAAAGAGATCATGGCTTATACCTGAACAAGGGTATTTGTGCTGCAAGGTCCCTTAAACATGATGGGACCGACCAGAAAAACGTATCCTGCGGGAACGACCATCACACCACCAGCATATGTGCATGCACCAAGCCATGCTAATTCAAAGGCCTGCATATTGTCAAAATCTTGTCTCAGCCAGCATTATCTTCAGCATTTCCTTCAAATTAGTATATCTCAACAAGAAGTTCCGTAGTTCACGATACCTGGAGACACACAGTTCTGTTCTGGTTTCTCGAAGTAAGAAGACAACATTACTCACTGTCCGTTTCATACAAAGCTAATCATATGCTTGTCTGTCATGTAAATTTGGAAACTGTCAAGTTCCCATCATCCTATCAAGAAATTTGAAACAATCCCCACTTGACGCAGTAGAACGACGTCAACCTCAGCTAATAACCTGCTTATAAATTCGATTTTCATGCATATGTGAATCCTTGTAGGTGATGTATGTGTACACTATTTTCTAAACACGGAATGCCCAGTTTCTCCTTTCACCAAAAGCTTCACTAGATCCAGCGATGGCTATGTATAAACTGCAAACCTCGCCTTAGGATGGGTGCCTCGTAGATCATATCCAGGCAAGTGTCTTTACAGGACATTTGCAGATTGACTGGAGGGCTACCACATTAGCATTCAATATGCCAGTTGATTAGATTTTGTGAACCTCTATCATATCTCTACGTTTGTCTTCTGGCCACAGTTTCCATGAGAGAAATTGCAAAAGGATTAATATAAACAATCGCCAGATATGATTGCATGTCTTCACGGAGCGGATTGACATGCAAAGCAATTTACGGACTATCTGAAGGTATTGGATAGTGGTGCTATACCTTAGTGTCACAAGTCTGGCCATCACCTTTGGCTCCATAAGTCAGCACGTTGAACTGATTGCCCCATAATCGAGGCCAAGAATTCAAAAGCATTCTGCGGTCTGACTCTTGAACGATCGCATTGTGTTGAGACATACGTTGTCTCTCCGGAGAAGGCAACGCCAAGCTCATAGAAACGCTGATCCATCCCTCCACGAGAACCAGAAACACCACGAAACTCTTTGCTGTACCAAATGACTTGTTGTACATCCTCATAGAGAACTACGACGACAATCTTCTAGCTAGGATCCGTGGCGACGATTAGCAATAGAATCTTCTTCGAGCTTTGGCCCACTGAGGTCCGTGTGAAAAAATATTCGAAGTTTTGATGAGTTTTTTATGCTGATCCAGATAGTAATCGGTTGAAGAATTCGAGAGAAGCTCAGCCATATTTAAAGACTGAAGTGGACGGGCACAAAGATCTCGAGTGAATTAAGGCGAAAGTTTTATGATGAGTGTGAGTGTTAGGACGTGCAGTAATAGTTCCTCGCTCGGCTGACCCCACTCCCGAGATCTGATATTATAAACAACGTCCCCCTTCCAGATCGACATAGAACAACAGATGATAGAGAGACGCGTAGGCACACAGCGAACTAGCTTCCAGAGAGATGTGCGAGCATCTAATCCAATACTAGAAAAACCGGAAACTTCCACATTCAAGTTGTCCGACCCCATGCACAAATGATGGAATATTTCTGCACGAACTTCTCACAGGTGAGACTTGTTTCCGTCATCTGTCCCCTCTCTCAACTTTGACTGGACCTGGACACCATTGAAGTTGAATGAACCTTTTCGATCATGCATGGACCAAGGGAACATGGAATTTGCCTTCCACCCCATAATCAAATACATGTCCCCTAAGATCAAGGGATTTGTGCCCCGTTTGCAGTGACCCACACTTCCACCCCGTGGCTGCATAGCACCCCCATCCCAACCCACACCACATCGCCCCGACTATCTGCTGCGGTCAGTACGTGAAGAAGGATCATACAGAACATGCTCTGATTATACACAGAGATGTACAGTTACTGTCTTGACTTCCCTGGCGCAGGACTGGACTGGGCTGGGTGGCGGACTGGGCCGGGCTGCTGCTGCTGCTGCTGCTAGGCTGTTGTTGCTGTTGCTTTAGACCCACTGGTCGGTGCACGTGGATTGAAGCAACTGCTAAGTAGTTGGTATGAAAATTAGATACAGGATGTGCAAACACTCTGAAAACCTCCCCTAGAGGTTGGGGACTTCGTGATCTCTGCATATTGGAGCGAGGCAAGAATCTTCACTCCCGACCGTTCTCATTGCTGGACTCGAATAGTATCTTATGCATTAATTCTTTTCTTTCCTTCGTTCAGAAGTCTTCATTCTGAAGCTTTCTCATTTCCTGACTCCAAGAGTTTATTAGCCACTACCCATCAAGCACACCAGCGTTGCTTCTACCTATCGATACCCACACTCGGAAGAAAGGGGCAGTCTTCCTGTCTCCTGCCTGTATCTGAAGCAGTCGAATAGAATGACAAACTGGATGTCACGCATCTAAAGAGCAAATGAGCACGGATCATGTGCCAGAAACCCAGGAGATTGTTAGTGTTTTCAGGTATCTTTTGGACTCCATCGATCAGGATTATGGGAATATAAAATTCTATCTCTCAGACAGTCAAGTTTGACATTCCACAAACAGAGATTCCGTTCTACAACAAATAAGCCCAGTAACCAGATCAGGATGACCTGGCTCACAAATCAGCATTCCATAACTAGAATTTCAATCACTAATTTTTCGGCGAATACCGGAAACAAAATCAGCCTGACTCGCCTCTCCAAGTAAAGCCGCAATTTGTATTTGGTTGTTTGACCTGGTCTTCTGCGCCTGTGGAAAACGGTGGTGCCCTTTAAGTGGCAACAACTCTCGAAATAACGTCCCACAGTTTTGAGCAGTTGTTGTCATTGGGCTGAGTGGACCCCCTCCATCTCTCTGTATGTATCAGGAGACTACCCAAAGCTTGCTTGCTTGCCCGCTTGCGCCTTCCACGCTCATGGTGGCCTCGTGATTGAGCATATTGCGCTAGCTACCCTTTCCCAGCCCGCATCAACCACACCCACTTCTCGCCTCATGTCCAATCAATCCACGATGAGCTCTTCGCTCAACACTTCGCAAATGTTAATGATGTGCTCACCTTCATGACTTTGGGATCAAATCCATAGCCTATCACTTTGAATACTAATGCTCTCTACGTCCCCTTCTCCATTCATTCTCCATAGCCACAATCTAATTGACTCAATGAGCCCTACAAACATTTGCAAATCCTCTCACGTCTTCCAAAGATGAGACTGATCCAGCGATGGTTGGCAATTTATATGAAGCCGCCCGCTATGGTTTGCATTAATTCACGAGGACCGACATCACAAGGGCAGCACGGCAGAGCCATTACATATAGTTATAGTGGTCATGTAGTAGAGACTTGAGAATTTTTTTGGCCGGAGCCACAAGTACAAGCAATGCATCGACTCAACGTCACATTGCTTCCGCACATACTTATTATCTTTTCCCAACACTTTGTGTTTAATTTCACTTTATTGCGTATTACATTATAGACGACGTATCATTTGCAACAATGCCACCAATATACACTTGATGCAACTGAGTCAGCTCTAATCATGTTCTTCGCTTTTATATCGTTTAATATACATACATATGTTTTATATACATAGTTTAGATAATCAACCCCTATGCTAATTTATCGGCTTCAGTCACCACCCCATTCAAGTATTGAGGTGTATTAAAGGATTTGCATACCAAATAAATTTTCAAGTGTTTCATGTACAGACTACTCACACTCATGTGTATCATATGTATCAGGTTGAATACTTGTGGCAGCGATTTTATCACTGGATCTCAAAACGTTGAATGAATGAACTTAGTCAAGTCTTTCATTTACCCCTTGATCTCCTCACCCTTCTAGGTAATATGGATGATTGTGTTCGCTTTAGTTTTAAATAGTTCTGTTAACACGATGGATTGGTTTATATTCAAAGCGCCAAGTCAACCGAGAGCATATTTACATGCCTGCAAAGATTTCCAAAGAGAAGTTGTTTACTTTGCAATAGTATTCGTTTTGGAGATAAAATAGAAATAGAATGGTAAGTAAACACATAGGTAGCTAAGATTTTAAATAAAATTTAAAAACGTTAACCTTGGATTTTAAACAATTATATAAAATTTTTACAATCCTGAAATCTTAAGAGATTTTTTTGATTGAGAGCTAATAGTTATTGTGATTTGAATATTTTAGTATATTTCACAACATACGCAATGTTGAGGTTAATAATTTACATCAACGTTTTTTTATTTAAAAAAAATCTGTGATTTAAAAAGATCATGAGTTTAAATATATGATGTCACAAAAAACATATCACAATAAACAAGACAAAATTTTAAAATGGTGATTTTAATATCATAATTTTTTATTTACTAGCAAGAAACAACACAAAAAGTATGACTTTTGGAACATGTATTAAAGTGTAATCTATTGAGAATGATTCACAATTAATCTATAAGCATACATTGAAAATGCAGACCCGGTGAAATGTTGATACAAGCATACAAAAAATGTAAATACAAATGACGTGATTTGATTCTACAGACTACGTCCCAAATGATCCGTATTTTTTTGTGTGAATTGTTATTAGAACTAACTAAAGAGTTTACCATGGTTAGTTGAGTTATGACTAAGTTTAGCTAGTTATGATTAAATCTAGCTATGAAGTCTTCACCTGACAAAATAATAAGGCTACTTCTAGAAAGTATAAATGAACATCACTATTTTTTCTTCTATCAATTTCTAGATTCTAAAGAAAAAACACTTTGACTATATGTCAACTTTCATTGGCTAAACAAAGTAATAAAAATTTCATTAGTAAGACTAAGTCTAAAATTGACTAAGTGAAAATAAGAACTTATAGAATTTTCAAGGTCTCAAATTGTATGTGGCCACCACAATCTAAGTACAAGAAAATTCCTACAAAGTTAAGATAGATCAATGACATATTGCCAAGTTATCAGTCAAACCTATCAAGGTTAATCTTAATTAGATGGTAATTTTTGTATAGTATTTTGAAAATTTCTTAAATGGTATTAAAAAACAATAGAAATGAAATTTTCAAGTAAGTTTTGAAATTTTATTATGTGAGAATTTGTTTCATGAATTGAAACTTGAGTTTGAATCATCATTTAGGTTTGTCTATTAGTGATTAAATTAATGGAGAGTGAAAAAATGTTAAAGACTCTGTCATGTAGATGAATACTTGTCTTTTATTATCATGAGAAACCATCAAAAAGTCATCTAAGTAAGAATTAGCCTGGAAGTCTTAGTCCATGGAAACTCACAAAAATCTTTATTGATAAAAATGCTAAAGTATTCAAAAAAATCTTGATTTACTCTCTTTTATAGTGACAGCAAAATGTAAACCCTAATTAGGTTTAAACTACTTGAATTAAACAAAAATTAATTCATACTAACAATCTTACTTTTAATTTATGTCATAATAATAGCAATCTATAAGATTCATAAAATAGCTTTATAATAAGTTTTAGAAAGTCACCTAACATAATCTATTCTTTAAATTAAATTAAACTAAAAAAAATCAAAATTTACAAAATATTTATAGAGGTTACAAAATTGCTAATAAACATTTCTTGTAATCTTCATTCAAATTCTGTAAAATAGCACAATGTCTTCTAGAAATATTTTAAGATATAATTTTGGTCAACGCATTAGTTGGATTGAATTTACCATAAATCTTGATTAGATTGATAATTTTATCAAAAACTTCAATCCTTATAAACTGATACTTGATATCAATGTGATATTTTCTGTCATACATCATTTTATTTGTAGCAAAATGTAATGCACTTTTATTATCAAAGTGAAGATTCATAAACTTAATTGCTCATACAATTTTAGTGATAACATTATTCAATTTAATTGTTTTTTTATACTTTTGCTAGTATTACATATATACCATAATACTACAGTTTAAATACAAGTTCATTCAAAGATGAAACATAAATTTTGAAGATGAGATATCTCAAGAGGTTATACTCTTTGTTGACATGTTGCTCTCAATTAACATACTAACTAGCACATTCAATCCTTATCCGGAATCTAGAAAGTATGGATTTTCCAATATGTCCAAACATCTTATGTCACAAAATCTTTATTCATCATACAATTGCAAACTCATAGATTCTCAAAAGCATAGTGAAATTCAAACTTATATTGATGAAACAAATACTCACGCTTTGAAATCTCAAAACTTGCTTCCGAGGTTTTTTTCCTATGTCAGGAACTTGTCTTGAAATATTAACA